GAACGTAAACTGTTGCAACTATCTCTAAAGAGTGTCCGCTAAATTAGTCTATGTCGAAAATGTTTACCTCTTCTTAACGTTAGACTATAAATTATAAGTTACGAAAAGGAACAATTCTCGTGTGAGCATATTCAAGACGATACACGAAGGAAGAAGGTACAAAAATCACTTCGGTCATTGCAAAAATACTTCCACAGATGAATGACGGCCCACGCGAATTAAATGCCGTTTATTTCTATTACTTACTTTATTTTTACATCCTTCACAAGGATTCCGCGAAGACGACAGAGGCCTCTACGCCGATCGCGCATGTGTACACGCACGCCTCTATGAATAACGCATTTATACGAGCGCGTCGGAAGGACTCTGTCAAAATAAAAATTCCCCTCCTCGCACGGATAGTAAGTTTTGTAAAGATAAAAGCTACACCTTCCTCAACCGCGAAATACATCGGGGTCTCGGTCGTCGCGTAACATCGATCTCCGGTCTCTCCGTGTCTTTCCTTACTTGCGTTAAGTATATCTCCTTTTTGTTGTTGTTGTTGTTGTAGTTATTCTTGTTGTTGTTGGTTGTTGTTGTTGTTTAATCACATTCTACATCGAGCAAACGGTTGCAAGCACAATCGAAGTGTAGTCCGAAAAGAATTACGCAGATTGTTCATGGCCTAAGTTTATTACGATCCTCTCCCCATTGAATTGTTTGAAGTATCCTCGATTTACGGGAACCGCGTCAGACTCGTTTCTCCGCGCGACGCCATTATATGTTCCCGCCGGAAGGGTAAAAGGAGAACGCTCCGAACTGGAAGTTCACCGGAGTTTTCGGCGACGCGCAGGTGTACAGGAAGTCGTCCGACTGCAGCTGCGTCCTGTTCAAGTTCGGCTCGGACGCGGATCTGGTGATCTTCGGCAATCCGCGGGAAAGACTTTCTAAGCTAGCCAAAATCTGACGAAATATCGGACGCTCGTCTCTGGAGAATTTGATGCAATCCTCCGTCAGTCTCTTCAACGCTTTGGGAGTGTCCGAGCGCAGTTTGTTTAGATCGGGGCATAAATTCCCGCGTCCGACCATGAACAGTATTTGATCTTTGTTGTTGATGTGCGAATACGGTAACTGACTAGCCAGCAATTCGAATAAAACAACACCGAACGCGTAGACGTCTGACTGGAAACTGTACGGATTTTCCTCTTGCATTCTTATCACTTCCGGTGCCATCCACAGAATGGATCCTGTCGGCTGGTGAAACTGTTGAGAGCCGGACCACCTGGTCTTCGCCGTGGCCAGGCCGAAGTCTCCGATTTTCACGGTGAGATCGTCGTGTAGAAATATATTATTACTTTTTAAATCTCGGTGGATAATATTTTTGGCGTGTAAGTAGTCCATACCTTGCGCGGTCTGCCTCCCAATTTCGATCAATGTGAACAAGTCGAACTTCGTTTCGAATACGTGTAAATGTTTATATAAAGAAGAACCTTCGCACCATTGAGTAACAATAGCGAGCTGTGGCTTGCTGACACAACCCATGAACAAAAGGATATTTACGTGCCGTGTTTTCCTCAGAACTGCAACTTCGTTTTTAAATGCTTGTAACTGAGCATCAGTGGGTATCTTAACATTAAGCATTTTCACAGCTACAGGTCCGTGCCAGTGAGCCTTGTATACCGTTCCAAAAGAACCAGAACCGATTCGAGCTCCTATTAGAATCTCATCCGCTGGAATCTCCCAGTCTTCTATGGATTCTCTGGGTGCCAAAAGATTCTTTGTCGATTCGTCAGCTGATCTCGCCCTTGGTCGTTTCGGCCTTAAAGTACTGGTTGGACTAGCCTGTGTCGATTGACTGTGTTTTGTTGGGCTATTACCAGGAGATACAGCACTTTGAGTGATGCCAACAGGACGACCTAAACTTTGAGATCTGCTGTACTCGTCTAAATTAGCAGAATCACCGCTTGGTTTGACCATGTTGAAGCAAACGTTAGGTGCAGAGCTGGAACGATCCTGTTGTCCTAAGGACCGTGGATGCCTCTGATTCCTCGAGGGTGTAAGAGATGGAGACATACTTCTGCTTAGATCGTAGCGAGAAGGAAGTTGCAGGATACCAGCACTCTCAAGATTGTGTGCCAACAATGCCTGGTAGTAAGCATCTTGCATGCGAACTTGATGACACAATGCAGGAACACCACCTGCACATCTTTGATGAAATCGATAATTACACGTTCTACAATAAAATCCGTAAAAGATGAGTTTTCTACACCAATCGCAAAATGCCAGTGTGAAGAAAGTCTTACGCACGAAATTGTGTGAAATGGAAGTAGTTATCGGAAACTTATCCAAAATTTCAACAGATATTTCATCGCAATCTAATACAGAAATATCCGTGTCCCAAGATGTAAGGTCCTTAGAATTGTCGGCACCCAAGATATATACCACGCACATTTCGGTAGTCAGATTCCTCAATTTCATTGCCTTGGCCAATGCGTCTCTAAGCGACAGTCCTTCGCGAACTTGAACACTGGTACGCTGTTGATTAGGTAAATATGCCCTGAGCAAAGACTTCGTAGGCATTCTCTGACTTTTAATGTTCGCGTTGGCTTCGCGAGATTCGCTCTCTGACGTGGAAGCATTGCCTGACACTCGATTGGTATTCAACATTTCGTTGAGCTTCTGTTCCTTGGACTCTAGATCTTGCAACTTACTGGTTAACTCCTGGTATTCGTTCAAGTATATCAGGGGTGGTTGTTGGAATCCGGCAATATGGTTGTTTAGTGCATCAATATTCTGACGAGTAACATGTATCACATTCTGTATATTTCTCAGTTCGTACCTCAGGGGATCCGTCTCCAGGTAGCCGTCCTCGGAGTCGCTGAGCTCTCCCGATTCCGGACCGCTACCCCGTGAAGAGGACATCGCTAGTCGTCCGGGTGAATGCGTGGGCTTTTTTCTCTGTCGACGCCGATGAGAAGAGAACGTCGAGGACAGGGAGGACGGCGACCCGGCTGTCGCAGCCTCGAACCTACGACACGAGAACTCCGTGTACGCGTTCGCACGTACCGCCGTGTAATACCTCTGCTCGCCGATCACGGCCATCTTCTTGCTCCGACGGGCAGCATCCTGGGCCGCTGCTGCTGCGCTCCGGAACACCTTGGTAGCTTCGGTACTACCGGTTACCGCCGAATTTTTCTTTCTATGGCTCCACCGCGGCTTTCACCACGCCGCCGTCGCCCTCACCTCTCACGCGACTCACGGACGCGTCCTCGCACACCTTCTTTCTTTTCTTCCTCTTCTTCTTCTTCTTCTTCCTCTTCTTCTTCTTTTCTCTGTATGTACGCTCCTCCTCGCTCCTACCTCTACTCTTTCTTCTTACGGCCGCCGAGTCGAACCTACTTTCTGATGCGCGACTTCACAGCATACGCCGTCTCTCCGCGACTCTCTCGGCCATCGAATTTCCACGCGATAGAACGTCACACCAACCTGTTTCTATCGCCTCGTTTCGAACGACCGATCAGCCCCCGTAATCGGGCAACGAATTCTTCCGTTTCAACCTCCTCTCCTGGCTTTGGTATTCCCCCCCCTTTTAATACTTCTTCTCTGGAGCCGTTCCGAAAGAAAACTGGCACGAGCGATGCGGGAGCGAGGACAGAGGCGCGGGACTATGTTTCTTGAAGCGCCGGTGCTGCCAACCGTTCCGCCCCCTCCCGCTTTCTTCCTGTTCCTCCGTTTGAATTTTACCTGTCCGCTCGCACGCTGCTTTCGCGATTCTTTCGCGATAACGTCAATTCCATGAATTTTTCATTTGCTATCTCTTTAAAAGTCTTGTTCTACGTTGTTCTTCATTCAGAAGAACTCGTAACATACTGAAATGTAGAATTCTTTATGTATTCAACCACTGACGCTGCAACAGTCCCAACAGTAATTGTACATACGACAATTGTATTTCATTCGATAAATGCATTATTAAGAGTACACTTTAATTACCTTTCTTTAAGTAGTAACAACTTTTCCAAAAAATATTTCGATCTTTCAACGATTTTCATGCGAGTACGTATACATGTTATTAAAATATTATTTTCTGTTTATCTTAATGAAGAAGGAACATATATTTTATATTATTTAATATACGAACTTCGTAAATGTAATCACGTTTGAACTACTTCATTTTCTTTGATTTCTTTTTTAACGTTGTACCTGTTACGTAGATAATTGAAATTGATATGCTTTATGAATTGTACTTCACGCTTCTTTTGTTATTTATAACAGAGCATCGAGAACTCTGTTTGCATCCTCGACGAGAAACGACCGTTTGGAGTGGGAATATAATTCAAGTTCAATTTTTCGGTAAACATAGCTACTACTCGCGTTGCGTTTTTGACGTCACTGCAGACGTACTTTGACGTCAGCAGCATATGGTACGGTTACCTAGGTAACACCGGTACATTCTAATTGGTTTATCGCTGGCGTACGTACTCGTTGCGTGCACGTCCGACTATGCTTAAAAAAAAAAAAAATTTG